GTACCTTCTCTCCTAATCTAATTATGGCTAAAATGAACGGAAAGAAATGAAGTCCTGATAACTGTATGTCCTGAGAAAGGCTCAGGGTAGCAGAGTTAGCATGGCCAAGCAGAGGACTCATTTGGAACCAGGGGCTTCCAATTTCTTTCCTCCGCTAACCATCTGAGTTACGGGGACAGCATGGCCTGGTGAGATGATAATAATACCTAAATAGAATAATAACAGTAACTAACATTGACTGAGGGATGGCCATGTGCCAGCCACTATGCTAAGTTCTGCCTATCTATCTGACATCTAATTTGACATTTCTAGTACCTTTGAGGTTAAGTACTATTATCATCGCCAAGCTGTAGATGGGAAACTGAGACGGTTCCAAAGCCTGCTAAGGGCTGGGGCTCTGTGTTTGAAACCAGAAGTTTGACATGAGAACTCAATATCTATAAGTCCCTCTGCATGGAACACTATGCTGCTTCCCTAAAGAATGGAAACAAGGCAGAATCCAGAGTTAGAAAGCTCTGAGTTCAAATCCTGGTTTTACCATATACTGGTGATATGGCCTTTGGAAGGTCAGTTAACCTTTCTAAGCCTCTGCTTTAGCTATAAAAGAGGTAACATGTTACCCATAAAGTTATTGTGAGAATTGTAAACAATTAAAGAGCCTGGTAGGTGCTCAATAAATGATAGTTATTATTGATGATAATAAATCATATTACCTCTTTAATACTCATTTCTAAATCATTTACCTATATTGTATGTGTGTGTGTGTGTGTGTGTGTATATGCACATACAAAGCATACGTGAAGGTATTGATATGGATGGAAGAAGAGAAATGAAGGATACAATAAAATTGTCCTTCATGATTACACACACACACACACACACACACACACACACACACAGAGACATATATGCTTTTTTCCCCAACTTCTTTCCCTAGAGGTGCTGAACATAGCACCTTACCATTTCGATCAAGGCATGCGACTGACACACACAGGAGGGGACTGTCGCCCTGGCGTGCAGAGCACCCATGGGAACCAACAGGGTAAACCCTTCCATTTGCAAACACTGGAGCATCGTGTACTAGAAATAGCACAGTCTTGGAACCACCCAGACTTCAGTTCAAATCTTCGTGCGACTAATTAATGGCCACATGACCTAGGGCAAAGAAGATTATTTATCTCTGGAGCTCCAGTTTTTCTCATCTATAAAATAATTAGGCTTGATAGTTTGTGTTGATGATTACATGTATAATACATATTAAGGTTTATAATGATGACAACGCATGTGAAACACCTGGTCTCTGGTAGAGATGGTGGCTAAATTGTGATCATTATTATGCCTCTGTGTCCTGTCCCAGTCATACCAGAAGTCAACAGAACTTCCACTTGTTTTCCATGAATCTTATTGTGACATCCTCGTGTAATTACATATCAATTATTGGAGTCTTTTCCAGGACTCGCCCAAAGATGGGGCTTAAAAATTCATTAGTTTTAAAGCCTTGCTTAATTAGTTACAAAAATAATTAAGTTAGGAAACAATCTCTTTTTAAGTCGTGGAAGTGAGTGTTTCATTAATTTTCATTGCAAATTAACTTTTTTATATTAATTAGATTTTTTACCTTAATAAGAATTTTAATTACAATTCTTTAAAATCTAGAAGGAAATATATTTCCCTGTATTTTAGGCAAGTTCTTTTAACTAACAGGCTGGCTGACTTTTTTGAAAGACTGAAAATTGAATTCTTTTCTGTACGTATGTGGTAAAACATACATACCTATTCTTACGCACAGACACACACTATTGAACACGAAAGAAATAGAGAGGTATGGTTTGAGAAAAGTCAGAGAAAACTTTAACAGTAAGGAAAGAAGTCAAGACAGCCAAAGAAGAAGAGAACAAGAGAAGCATGGTTCCGCAAGAGTTGCCCAGGAAAGATACAAAACATCATCTTTGAAAGGTATGTTGTGAGCACTCACTAAATAATATCTGCAGAAATGCTCCGGTCTCCTGAGAGATGGGCATTCTATCAGCACAAAGCATAATGGTTTCTGTCTTTATAATGGAAAGATTGATATTCTTTGGTAAGATTCCATATCCAGCAAAGAAGGAACACAATCGGAAGTCTGAAACAGCACTTTTTCTCATTTTTATCCAACACAAAAGTCTCCTTCCAGTGTGTGACCTTCCATGCAAAACAGCTCATTTTTAAAGCTTAGTTCCAGTCCCTTAAAGATCCTTGGTCACAAGCCATGGGAAAGGACATCATGTGACAGAGGCACAGTCCTTTCCAAGCAGCAGGGGAAACGTTCTGCGACAATCACCCTTAGTGAAGAGAACACAGCACCTATTGGGTTAGTCAGAATTCTTAACTGTACTAGGAACAGAGAGAGGATACCATGCTCTCATTTTTCAACTTGTCACATTTTCCCTTGTGAAAATATTTCAAGGTTACAATGAATGGGACGTAGCAGTTAAATTCCTAAGAAGGTTTTAAAAAAGCATGTCATAGAAGTAAATATTGGCTTCAGTTGTTTTGAAAAGGGAAAATAAAAAAGCTGACTAGGGCAAAGGAAAGTATTTTTTCCCATCCCTCCACTATCGATGATTATTACATATGTGTTCATTTCATGCCAGGACTGCTAAATGGTAGGATGCATCATGCTGTACATATTACAAATAGAGTATACAATATACAGTCAGTATACAGGTGGTCTGAAATTTCAGTCACTCACCATGTCGACAGAAGAAACAGTTGGCAAATCTTCTGGGGCCATCATGGTGTCATTAGACGTTGAGATATTAACTGTAAGCAAAAGATAATTTTTGACTATAAAAATAAAATCGAAACAACCTAAATGCATAATTAGTTATCTAAAAATGCAATTCTAGGCATTAAAAATGTCTTCAATAACAACATAAGGGCACAATGAA